ATACAAACAAAAACAATAACATTACATGTTGGTGCATGTCTGTTCGTGTCGCAATAAATACTCTTTGCTTTCAGACGCTGCTGTTGCCGTTGCGTCGAATGYGACGCCTGGCGCTGACGCATCCAACCCCACCGCCACCCTGGAGTGCCCCATATGCCTACAAACGTGCATTCATCCCGCCCGCCTGCCCTGCGGTCACATCTTCTGCTTCTTGTGCGTTAAGGTAGGTGTCGCRCCCAAAACAACTTCCCCTTCCCGATTCTCCCTCCTCTGCTGCTTAGCCGGAARCATTTACTCATTCATGTCGCGTTCCGTTTTGATATTTTGATATTTTTGGTCAACACGCCCGAAACGCGTGCGCCCAACGCTTCGCACGCACACACGCACGAGGGAAGTTCAAGGCTGCGCCGCTGCCATTAACCCTTATGTGTGCCCGCTGCTTGCCAGCGCTTGCGCTAGCTTGGATAATTCAAATTCAATTCAATTACCTTCCGCATAGCAATATCGAATTAATTTCAAGTCTGCCCTTAGCCCAACATGTCAGCATTTAATGTTTGTAAAATAATATGTAAAATAACAAATTGATTATATTTAATTCAAGGTAAATAACATGRATGAAATTCATGTGAAATAGCCTATGTAAATGTGATATGTTTATATGTATGTGTATGTAGGTTAGAATCTATAAGTATAATCTTTTTTCTAGGCTATCTATCTATTTTTTATATACTAGACAATTTTTAATTTTTTCTGCCAATTTCATTATTCATATAATTAAGTAAAACTCTTGATCAATCAAAACTTATTAAGCTTCCCTCTGCTTTCAGGGCGTTGCCTATAAGAATCGCCGCTGTGCCATGTGTCGTCGTGAGATTCCAGCCGAGTTTCTGGACCATCCGCAGCTGGTGAACGGCATCGATGACATCTGTGCCACGCGCGCCACCGAGGATGGCTATCAGTGGTACTACGAGGGACGGAATGGTAAGTGGCTTCCTCCATTTTTGGTGGCGGTGTCTTTTAGTCCACAACCACAACATCCATGTCCATGAGCATAAACCGAACACAAACCCTAGGCGGCTGGTGGGCGTATGATGTGCGCACCAACGGAGAGCTTGAGACGTCCTACCAATCCTTCCTCGCATACAAAGCCAAAAGAGCAAAAGAAGGCAAACCAGTGAATCGGCAGGAAASTGTGAATTTAGAAGGCAACTGGAGAGAGATGTTTGCGACTATTGATTATGATGATTGCGAGGAAATCTCCTCGGACAGCAGTTCGGACGGCCGTCCCRAGGACCCAAGTCGCTGCCAGCAGCTCATCTGCGGCCAATTGTATATCATTGATCTGATCGATATGACGCAATCGTTGCGCTCGCAGCCGTCCAGAAAGCGA